AACTCACCTCCAGAACCTCCTTTTGTGAGCTCTCACCTTGACGAGCCAAAGACTCTCAACTGCTCTCACCAGGAGTGAGTTTTCTTAATGTACAACTGATTTCATGACAAGGATGAGATTTTGTGGAGGAGAACAGAAATGGGACACTGATCTGAGGGGTCATGGCTGGAACAGGGCTGCAAGAGGGAAGACTCCTTGGGGCCCAAGAAGAGCAGGGGGTTAACATGGTATAGAAAAAAAAAGTGGATAATACAGTTGGACTGGAAATAACTTATAGAATCATTCAGGTTGGAAAAGACCGTTGGGATCATGGAGTCCAACCATCAACCCTATTCTGCAAAGTTCTCCCCTACACAATATCCCCCAACACCACATCTAAAATTATAATTAAGCACATCTCACCTTCCAGATCTATTTGCTTATAAGGGCAACAGGAAGAGGATTTTGTTCGGTCCTTCCAAAACAGCCTGCAACATCCAGCCTAACCTCATCTCGTCTCCTCTGCCACTATTTAAAAAGAAGTCCCCAGGATGGCACCAGCACATTCCTGCTGACCACCAGCAGATCTTCTCAACAGCTGATGATCTGCCCTTCTGTAGACTCCAGGAACATGATGACCAAGGCCATCCTGCTTGCCACTGCTTTGCTTTCAGGTTTTTGGGATTATTTATCTTTTTTTTTTTTTCAGAATATTGGGTCCTACAGTTTCTCCTGATCTGGTTTAATTAACAGGGAGTTTGGGTAAACTCCTGGCTCAGGGCAGGTTCACGAGAGAGGATGATAATCAAAGTCCCACATGGCACCAGCAACACCATCTCCTTGAAATACGCTTCTCTATGGATATAGATGAAAAAAAAGGAAAGGAACTTTTACTGTTTTCATGTGAAAGCAGAAAAAACACTCCTTCTCAGCCCTTTTCTGTCAAGGGGCTTCACTTCAATATGATTTAAGCTAAATTAATAAAGACAACGATGTTTTCAGTGGAGAAAACATATTGGTATGACCTTGATCTTTCTCAGTTACCAACACAGATCTGATGGAACAGCACAGACCTTTGGGCAGAATCAGGGCCGTGTTCTGAAGTGGGAGAAGGAGAGACCAGGAGAAATAGTGAGAAGGAAAGAAGTCCCACAGTAAAACCCATCTGGCTCATCACACCCGACGTATAAACCCACATAAACCCACCTTCTACAGCCCATCAGGCAGCTCCTGCTTTGCCATGGCAAGGGGCTTGCTAATGAAAAATAAATTGAAAGCTCTTACTTAACGCAAATTTTAGACAAAAAGAAGAGAACAAAGGAGTCCTCCAGGCAAAAAATGTGGAAAATTACAATCATTAATAATTTCTTCAACTCTTAACTACAAGATTTTCATCAGTTTTCTGAGGCGGCATCGCACTAACTTTCCAGTCACAAAATCCCCAAACCCACAAAAAAAAAAGAATACCTGCTTGATCACATAACAATAAATGAAGAACAACTTGCCAACATCGGGGTACTCTGGTTTGAATGTATCCAGAGCATCCAGGCTTTGAAAGGCCTGGAAACATCCTTGAACTTCCCAGTAGGTGTTAAACAGCCTGAAACTGTGTTCTTATAGCAAAGAGCACGAAGGACAAGAAAACACAGTTTGTCTCCAGGATTCTTAGTTTCACCTTTTCAAATGTTGGTGTGAAAAACAAGGCCCTCATGCCTATTTTTAGGTGTGTGGTAACAAGTTGCCCACTTTTCACAAGTCCTCAGTACTCCTCTGTCCCGGGAAGATGGAGAAGCTTCAGAAGCTCTGAAATTGTTCAGAAATACAGTTTACAGCCCAGTTTCTGGATGCACACACTTGAAAAATGATACTTTTTGCTTTTTTGCAGAACACAGAGCCTTGCGTGTCATCTATTAAACTATATAAAGAAATACAGAATCAAAGGGAACTCCTAGATCCCATCCAGAAGAGATGATGCTGGAAACCCAGACCCCACCCATGATTTCAGCCCCATCTCACACCTCAAAGCAGTTCCAAATCTGGAGCTTGATTGGGGTCTGCAGCACTTTTTATTGTTTTCTCAAGGGGGTGCAGCATTTTCCACGCTTTTTTCCCCCAGCAGAAACATTTTAACGTTGCCCATTTCATTTTAACGTTGCCCATTTCAGTTTTTATGGAGCCACAAGGCAAATTTACAGCAGAGAAACTTCTCTCTCACCCCACACCACCCTCCAGCTTTGATGTCTGCCGACCTATAGGCATGAAAATTTATACCCACTTAACTCGCATCAGCTCCAAATCCCTGCTAATGAAATCCCCAGGAACCAGCACGTTCCTGGGTTGATTTTCAGCTGCTGCATCAATTTGGGCACCACGTGGCCACTGAGACCCTTTCCCTGTGCTTTGCCCAATGCTCATTACAAGCTCAGGACCAGCATCATTGCTCTCCAGGCTGGACAGGCATGTGCCTTCTTGTCCCCTTCTCCAACCCCATAAATCTGAAGCCCTTTTGATATAGTGGCCAAGCCCCAAGAGATGCCTCTTTCAGGGTATGCTGGAGGCAAGGAGACATGGCATGCTCATAGATCCTCTCTTCCTGGGAAGGCAGTGGCCAAGGGGAGAGATTCTTGGGGTCTCTTGAACCAGAGGAGCCTAGAGAGCACGGGAGAGGGATGTGGTGCCTCAGATGGGATGACACAGGGGCATCAAAAGGAGCTGCCAAGAACAAATCACTTCTGAAGCCTGCAGTGTGGCACTCCAGCAGTCACTGCAGCAGGAGCAGGGACACCAGGGGAGCAGCTGGGTCCAAGAGTGCAGCTACACAAATCCAGCAGTTAAGCATCAATCCAGAGCTGTTATATAGAGAGATACCAGGAAATCCCTTGCATTTGGCTCGGAAATCCCACTAATTGCACGCTGATGTGTGGATATTTCGGGAGCAGCTTTGCTGTACCCTTGTCCTGCTCTTCCACAGCCTCCCTAAGCCTCTGCCACAGCAGAGCCACACCACGGTGCTATTCCAGGTCTGATTTAAAAGGCTCCACAGCTCATCATCACCACCTTACCCAGTGCTGAGCATGGCAGAGACACCAGCCGGGGCTTTCTCATCGCTGCAGCAGGAGCTTGGAAGGACCAACCAATGGCACGTGGCTCGCTGGGACCCATCCTGCCAGCAGTGCAGGACAAAGTCACCCCAAACACATTCTTCTGAGAAGCCTGATGCTGTGTCTCAGGGTTATTTAACAGCTCCAGCCCTTTGCAGGGCTCATATATAGTTTCTAGGGCCCAGCTGAGGCCCAGTGCTCCTCAAATTAGGGCAGTTCAGAGCACACCCATGAGGAACCACTGATGAAAAGACCTTAAAAGCAAGGGAGAGGGGGCAGGTGGGATGCAGGCATCAGGAAATAATCTGGATTGGATTTAAGTGCCTTCAGCAGGGTATGTGCTAACCTGAGGCACCTGAGTCCTCTTCTGGAGGCAGCCTCTGGTGTGTCCTCTGCTGTCTGTCTCTGGGGTTAAGCATCATCCCCTCCATGCGAATAAGAAGAGTCGCTCCCCCAGGATACTGTTAGCTCCATCCTGCGTCCACATTAGGAGTTCTTGTTCACACTTCATCCTGGGAAGGATCTTGACTCTGCCTTCTTTTTACACTTTGGTGACACCAGAAAATGGTACCCTCTGAAAATCAAAGCAGCAGGCTGGAACAAACAAACAAGCACGAAAGGATTTTAAAATAAAAATGCCCTGATTTGCATTGGCAAAGCTCCTCACCAAAGCTGTGAAGGTTACCTGAGAAATTTGGTGGGAATCTCCAATCTCCTGCCTCTGGGTTTTGTGGGCAAAAAGGACAACCAGGTGGTGGTATCAATGAAAAATCTCCCTCTGAAAGGAAGTGTGATGCCACCTTCTACCCAGGTGGTGGATACCCCGAGCAAAGAAATGAACCTCAGGCACCAATCCATCTGCTGCCATTAATGGCCAGGGAAGAAACGCTTGTGTGCCCGTGTCCAGGTATAAAAAGGGGATGGGCAGCCCTGGAATACTTTGGATTTTGCAGCTGAAGAGCTGAATATGGACACTGGGGCAAAGAGAAGACCCAAAGGCCAGAAAATGATGCCTTGTGTTCCAGCTGTGATAGATCCTGCTAATTATTTACTCGCCCAGCCCCTCGTGCCATCACCCACCAGACACCCCGCTCCTCAGGGTTCTCCTGCTGCACCCACTGCTGCTTCTTCTCCTCTGCTCTGGTTTTACAGCAGAGCCCGTGGCCCCCCAGCACCTTCCCTCTTGTAGGGGTCTACTCTACCAAGCTGCTTTAAAAAAAAATAAAACATATATATATATGTGTACCTCTGTCCAATTTTATCCCCCTCCCGTTTATTTATTTATTTTTTTTACTCTCTTTTCCTCGTCTTCTTTCCAAGCTGAGACTTTTCAGCTCGGGGTAGGAATGGCCAAAGTGTAACTTCAGAGTTTTATGACATGGCCTTTTGCAGCCTGGCATGCAGCATTCAATTTGGAGCGGAGTGTCCTAGCTCTGTTGCATGCCGAGATCTGTTGTCCAGATGAATTAATTCCAGATTATATGTGGGTGTGGGCTTCAGCTGGGCAAAATTTGGATACCCTGGTTTAGTCATTATTCTCTGATGAATCTCTTGGTGACAGTCTTTGCCCCTATTGTTCTGAGGTGAGCCCCATGGCAAGAAATGTGAAGGCGAGAAACAAAAGAATATAAAGAAAGGTTACGAAATCAAATTCAGTAAGGCAGGGTTATTGTCCCTCCATTCTGCCTCTTCTGTCCTCCATTTGAGATTGGATTTTGCAGGGGGAAAAAAAAAACAAACCAAACAACCAAACAACCCCAAACCACCACCCCGTAGGACAGACGGAGAGAGTCTGGGGGGCAGGTTCTGGTGGGGAGCAAGGGAAAGGGGGGGCATCAGCCCATCCCACCACCTCTCAGCACCACGGGACCCCCCCTCCCCAGCCCAAATCAAAGCGCAGAGAAAGGGAGGAGGAAGAAGTTATCATCAATTCTTAACATTTTATTTCTTTACTGGGTTAAACAAGGAGCGGAGAAAACCTCTGCCCCAAAATACAACAGAACTGAAAGCATTACAGGTACAGAGACTATTGAACACAGAGAGTAGTAGGATAATATTTTTAATACAACTGAATTATAGCATGGTTTTTTGTGTTTTTTGTTGGGGTTTTGTCTTTTTTTTTGTTTGTTTTTTTTTTTTTTCAAACCATTTTGGAAAATAAATGTAATAGGAACTAGTGCAAAAAAGTTCTAAACATGAAGCACAGTGTATAAAATGGCATAAGAAAACTGTCCCCTCGAGGACACAGTCACTTTCTTATGACAGAGGGGAGAAAGAGAAACAGAAGGGGGGTGGGAACAGAGAGGGAGGGTCCGGGAGGCAGAGGAAGAAAGCTGGAAAGAAAGAGAAACCGGGCAGGGGGATTAGAAAGAATATTTTGACTTCAGCAGTATGTTTGTTGTTTTGTTTTCTTCTTTTTTTTTTTTTTATTTTTCACCTCGCCACCACGTACTGTAAAAGGACCTTTTTTTTTTTTTTTCTTTTTTTTTTTTTCTTTTTTTTCCTTGTAGGTCTGAGCTCTGTAACCACCGACATTTCACAAGCACTTGAGAAGGGTTCGGTCACAAGCAGCCTGGTCCCACCACAGGCAAAGCCATCCCGGTGGGGGGGCATGGAGGGGGGCTCTGGTCCCTGACGATGTCCCCCCACCTTCTCCCCAGGCCTGGAGTTGGGGGGGGACACACAGAGAGACCTCACCTCGGCCACCAGCATCTCCCGCGCTCGGAGTGAGGATGGGCAAGAGGGCAAGGAGGCTTTCTTTGGGGCTCTTTCCCCAAAATGATCCCCGAAATGTCCCTTAAAATGGTTCTTGGTGAACCGCGGCGGCGGCTTTTCCCCCCTTGGCTGCATCCCTTGCTGGACCAGCACCTGGAATTTTTTTTCTTCCAACTTTTCAACTCCCGCGAGCGTTGGGAAGCGTCTCCGGTTTTCGAAGGCATCCCGTGATGTCTGAATGTTACCGAAAGGCTAGGAGGAGCTGGATTCGTTTTGGGGTTTGGAAAAGAAAAAAAAACAACAAAAAACAGAGCTTGGTTAGAGGGATGGCCGAGGACGGGGAGAAGAAGGGGTGATCCCACCACCAGCCGAGGATGGGGAGAAGAAGGGGTGATCCCACCACCGGCCGAGGACGGGGAGAAGAAGGGGTGATCCCACCACCGGCCAAGGATGGGGAGAAGAAGGGGTGATCCCACCACCGGCCAAGGATGGGGAGAAGAAGGGGTGATCTCTCCCAGGCAGCAGCCAATTCCCAAAGGGAAGGTGCCCAAGCTCTTCCCAAGGTGTGTTATCCCGGATTTAAACCCTCCTCCCGGTAAGAAAGGGCATCTCTCCAGTTTGCTTTCCCCACGGAGCCACTCTCAGCCCGCTGCCCCCAAGAAATTGGCTGGATGCTATTTTAAGTAGAGCTGGTTGGAATTCCTTACAAATTGCTATTCTCTTCGAATCCGCTGCCACCAGTTCCAACTGTGCGAGCAGAAAAAGTGTGATTGATTTTTTTTCTCCTAATTTTTTTCTTTTTTTGCATTTATATTTTTTTGAAAATGAAAGGTTTTGTGGGAAAAGGGCTGTTCCTTGATGTGTTTCTCAATTTGAAAAAAAAAAAAAAAATAATAAAAATTGGTCATAATTATCAATATGGCTTGTTTTGACAAGTTTCAAAATTAAAAAAGAAACACAACTGTCTGGCTTGAAATGTCTTTTTGTTTTGCAACTCAAGCACGTACAGTTCCCAAATAAATACGTTTAAAAATGGTAAAAACCAAACCCAAATTTCATAAGCCAAACTTAATCCAAACCTAATTTTTTTTTGTTTGTTGGCTTTTTTTTCTTTTTTGGCGAGTTTCAGTTTACAACAAGCAAAGTTGTCGACTTCCTGGGCTGAAAGAAGGCTCGTCATAAAATGCTAACGAGACTGGAAACCGCTCCTGACCTTGTTTCGAGCAAAAAGTACTCGATAGGCAGCCTCTGAAAGCGAGATGAGGTGTTTAGAAATTAAGCCCATCTCTCTTGCCCACGAACACCCAGCCCTCTGAGGGATGGGGGTTCTGAGAGCTTTGATCAAATCCCAAAACTTTTACAAGGAATTTTTTTAATTATTATTTTTTATTTTTATAATTTATACTTCATAATAATTTATTATTGTTATTTTATTCTTTTTGAAGGTTCTTCTTTGAAAATGATTTATCCTTTGCCTACAGCCACGGCATCTCCTTTGCCCCCCTTCACCCCCAGAAGGTCCCTTTGGGACCTGCCCTGGACCTGCTGATGGTGGTGACGTCCCTCAAAGGTTCCCAGCTCCAAACGACTCGGGGCAGAGGTAAAACCCCTCCTTGCCCAGTGCTCCCCAACCCAGTGGGACCAGCATCCACCAGCCTTAGGTCCAGGGAGGAGGCAGCTGCACTGGCCACGATGGAAAAGGCCACGTGTGGGACCCCTCCCCACCAAGGACCACCTATGGGTGGTGGTGGATCAAGCCCCATTTTTGGGAGGATGCTCTTCTCTGCTCAGCTGTGGGGAGGGCGGTCGGTGCTGGATTCCCTGTTTGAGATAGAGCCTGGGGCTGCAAAAAAGGTGTAAAACACCCTGATTTTCAGCAGTCAGGTGCTGGGTCTTGGCTGGCACTCAGAGGACAAGCAGAGCGGGGCTTTTCCTGTCCCGTCCCCCCATTGCAGTGATGGATGGGACTGGAACCAGTCACCCAAACAGCCATATGGACCGAGAACACCCAAAAAAAGCTGCTGAAAAGCTTCACTCCTGAAATAAAACCAAACGATGCTTGGACCAGTGCAGCCCCCCCGGAGCTGTTGTGGTCCAGGAGCCCTAAAGAGCCTCCTGCTGGGTCAAGAAGGGATGATGTTGGGGTTTCATGACATGGGTACCCCTGTCACCCCCTGGGATGCCCAAGAGCTGACTTGGATGGGGTGAAGTAGATGGTTATTAACATCCTGCCTAAACATTCGACGCTGCCCTTCCTAAGCTCTGAAGGATAATTTAAGGGAGATTTATACCCGTGGAGCAGCTCAAGAAGTCTATAAACAAAATTGCCTGACACATAACGGAATTTAATAGGGATTTTCACAGAATCCAAGTACGTTTCTGTCCTGATTTTGTCTCTACCCATTTCTATAGGCATTCCTTTCCGAGGTGGTAGCGAGGTATCATATTCTAATTTATCACGAGCTGCTGCGTGACTTTTTGGGAGGGCAAAGCCTTCAATCCCAAGGCTGTGCCCCCTCCCTGAAGGATGGGGCTGGGGGGGGAGGGATGGATCCTGTCCCACCGGCCGCACAAACCACCCTGCTCCGGGCTGTAAATCACCCACCTCCCCTGCCCGGGGAGACCTTGCTGGCCCAAAGGCACCAACAGAGCTCAGCACTGGGAAACAGCACCTCCATGGCGAGGAGGATCCTGCTCCGGGAGCAGCAGATATCAGGGATTTTCTTTTCCTTTTTTTTTTTTTCATTTTTTCTTTTTTTAAACGCGGGCAGAGGAGCTGTCTCCCAGCATCGCCTGCAGTCCTGAGTGGCAGTGAATGAACTGCCCTGACATCTCCTATTGAAGCAAAGCAAAATGTGTTGAACAAAAACCATTTCAAGATGTTTTCCGAGTGTTGCCAAGTTACTCAACATGTTCTGCTTTAGTTGTCAGATGCTTTCAAAGCGATTTCCCTAACTCAGAGCACGAATGGTGAGGGCTCTCCCTGGGAATCTTTTGCCTGGGGCTACCATGGATCTGTATTTTCATAAGAAAAAGGCTCAACTAATGATTAATCTTCACCAGAGGAAGCAGGGCCTTTCTTTGGGATTTTTCTTCAGTTATTTTTAATTAATTTGTACAACTGGCAGTTACATTAAAGTGCAAAACCCAGGACTAATGCTCCAGCCGGGCAGGACTCGGCTACCTTTCCTCCTGCTGCCCCATCTGCTCTGCCCATGGGGACCCCCTGGGGACAGCATCACCCCTTGGCTCCCCCAGTGCTGTGGGGCACAGCGAGGCTCTGGCCAGGGAGGAATCACTGCTTTCTGATGGGCATCTTCCTCTGAGTGGAGAGGAATTTATCCACTGAAGGAAAGGTTGGGTTCTAGGTATTAATCCCAATGCGCGGCACCTTCTATAATAGGGAGAAGAAACCACCTCGTTGAATAAAAAGGAGAAAGCACCTTGGGTTTAAATTCCTGGCAGGATAAATCTATTTGGACCTGGTGTTTTCCAAGGTCCCAAGTGGCTGCAGGAACGTGTCTCTGCAAAGGGCACCTGGTCTGCTGGGCACAGGAGGGGCTCAGGTGGAAGGGTAATGGCATTCATGGGGCAAGAAACCCTTTCTCTCCTTATCCCAACCCCTTCTCTCCTTATCCCAACCCTCTCTCTCCTTATCCCAACCCTCTCTCTCCTTATCCCAACCTTTTCCCTCCTTATCCCAACCCCTTCTCTCCTTATCCCAACCCCTTCTCTCCTTATCCCAACCCTTTCTCTCCTTATCCCAATCCCTTCTCTCCTTATCCCAACCCTTTCTCTCCTTATCCCAACCCTTTCTCTCCTTATCCCAACCCTTTCCCTCCTTATCCCAACCCCTTCTCTCCTTATCCCAGGCACACTCACTCCATGTTTTAATAAAAAAATCACGTCAGTGGTATTAACCGAGACAATGTAAACGTCTCCTTTCTGGATTTTTCCCTTTGTATAGCAAAGGGAAAACTAATATGGATGGAGGATTATTAAGGTTGTAATGTCAGCCCAAAGAGGAGATTTTTATCCGACGGCCTTATAATGATGGACTGCGACATACACCGCTTCCAGCTGCTCCGTCCTGTTCTGTGAACAGCCTAGTCTGGATTCATTTAACGAGATTGGCAAAGTGTTGAATACAGCATATGGTGCCCTAAAACCACAGAACTTATTGACAGCAGCCCAGACTCGCTAAATAAAAGAACTCCTTCCAAAAGCCTCGGTCTGTGAAGACTCAGCACTTTCCTTCCAGTCACACTAGGTAAAATCCCGACCCTGCGCCTGCTGCCAGCGCGGCTCCGCGCCCCCCCTGCACCCCATCCTCCTGCACAGTACCCTCACGTGAACACCTCCTGGGAAGCCACCCCTGGAAAAAGGCAGGGATCTCCTCTGGCTACAGCGTGGCTGCCCCCCAGATCCTCCTCGCTCCCCCGGGCTGATGAGGCTGATGTGACTACACCTCCTCAGCCACCACGCTAAAGACCTCATTTTGGAAATGGTTGGGTTTTCCGGCCATTCCCTGCCTCCCGAGATGAAGCTCATCAGCTGATGCTATGGAAGGTGAAGACGTTGCTCCCAGGTTATTCCAGTAAAACCCCTGCCATCCTCCCCTGGGGCCTCCGAAGATAACTCAGGCTATTTGACCTCACTCCCCCATCACAAAAACCATTAAGAACCCGAGCCTGGGTGGACAGGGAACACACTGGTCCATCCCTCCGCCCGCCGGCGGTGCAGAAGAGCCTCGGGGCAGGCAGAAAGGGCACGAACCCCTCAAAGAAGGGAATTATTTGCGCTGAGACAGGCAGAGAGGGTGCAGAAGAGCGAGCCCGAGCGCGCAGGCTCAGGCGCTGCTCAGTGTCACACCAGCAGACAATGAATAGGGGCCAGTGACTCAGGGCCACTCGCTGACGCACCACACTGGGCTATTCTTCTCTCTCTAGATGAGTCGTTCAAAGATTGGATGCAGCCTATCTCCGAGAGAGAGAGAGAGAGAGGAGAGAGAGGCGCCTGGAATTAGCTTAACTCTTGGCAGTACATGAAAAATCTAATTTCCTTAAGAGCGAACTGGATCCGGCTGTCTCGAGGCAGGCACAGGGCTCTGCTCCCTCCCTCGGTCTGGCTGTTTGCTTGCACTAATCATCAAAGCAGCTACACAACTCATTTCTTCGCAGCAGAGCCAGCGGAGGAGTTGGATCCCTCTTTGCATGTCCAAGCTCTCAGACCAGATCCCTATTTCCATGTCCAAGCTTTGAGACTGGATCCCTATTTCCACGTCCAAGCTTTCAGACTGGATCCCTATTTCCACATCCAAGCTCTCAGACTGGATCCCTATTTCCACATCCAAGCTCTCAGACTGGATCCCTATTTGCACCTCCAAGTTCTCAGCTTGGTGTAAACTAGACCAAAACTATATAAGGATGCTGTGAGGAAGAGTCAAACGACAATGGTCCTACCTTTCCTGGGTAGTGACAGCAAAGAAATGTGCTCGGGAAACGCTCTGCATCTTCCATGACCACCACCTCTCCCAGCCCTCTAACCAAGGGTTCACAGGCTTTGTATCTGTGGGGCTTTGGTAACAGGTAACTGATAACGTGTAAACATCACCCCAAAGCTCTGAGATTCAAGTCAAAACAGAAATCAAACGTTCAGCTGCTTCTCAGAGCCTCTTTGGTCTGGAAATGGGCTGGAAATGTCAGGAAACCTGTCCTTTCCACGAGATGTCTGGTACTTCCTTCTTCCAGCCGGGTAGGAAGTAGCTTTGCTCATGGGGTTCTGCTCTTTGCTTCACCTCAACAGACACCAGAAACCACAAAACTCTTACAGTCCTCAACTCTGTGACTTTTGGGAGCCTCAAAGGTACCTGGGACGGGTTTGAGATGCAGCAGGACGTTCCTCCTGCTCCATCCCTGCCTGTCACCAAGGGCCGCAGCCACCCAGCCTGGGCTCTGCTGCAGGCTCCCCCCTCAAAAGGCAGCCTAGAAACAGAGGGACCATCCCACGTCCTCTGTGGCAAACGAGCAGGTTCATATTCATATCACGACCAGGACATTTTTCAGCTGATTTGTGCTAAAACGCACCCTCCTCCTTCCCCTTGCCCACCCCCAGAATGAACCTTCTCATCTCTGGTGCCTGGCCCGGAGGAGCAGCACCATCCCCCGTGCACCACCGTGCTGGGAATAGTTCCTGGGGGGGTGAGTGGAGAATCTGGGAGTTTCCTAGGAAAGGGGGAATCTGTTTTGGGCTGAATCCCTGGAAACACTGAGCTCAGGTTAAAAAAAAACCCACAAGCAGGTGAGCCAAACGATGCTGCACCAGCCAGCACCTTGCCCGGCCGAGTCCAGCTGGCCCAGCTGGGCTCCTGGAAAAATTCTGATCTGGGGGGCATCCATGGATAGAAAGTATTCACAAAAACTCTCTTCCCCAGCTGGGCTTTATTAGCGCCTCTTCTTTGTGTGGGAGACTCTCCCTACAAGCCAGATTTCTCCAGCCCTTTTTTTTGCCCAGTCCCTCTGCCATCCAGTTGATGATTTGTAGCTGGGAAGCATGGAAGGCCGCCTGGAAGGATGCCTCCTGACACCCTGCATCCAATTGTTACCATGCGCCATCCCGCTCCCTCCTCGGCTTAAGCCTGTGCCCTGCTGGAGCCACATCTCCCTCACTCTGCTTGGAAAGAAAAGCCAAAAAAAAGTTAAACCCAAATCATCAGGACGCTTGGCAAAGCGGGATGTGGGAATGCTGGGGACATCCCTCCTGCTCCATGCCTCCTCCATCCCTCTCCACCTCCTTGCACAGAGGAGGAGAGAGAAGAGGCTGGAGGAGCACATAATGGGATGAACCCCGAGTAGTACCACAGTGTAGTGGAACATCATCCCAGTCCTGTCCTCCAAATCTCATCAGTGGGGGGCACGTGGAGGGGATTGCCACCCTGGGGACGCTGCACCCCACCGGGATGGTTCTGCCTTGATGCAGGGGGTGGACATCCCGGTGAGGTGGGGCAAAGCTGTGCAGAGAGGTTCTGCCTCCCTGCCCACCTGGCCCTTCGGGATTTATAGAATCCTAGAATTGTCTAGGTTGGAAGAGACCCTTGGGATCATCGAGTCCAACCATCTACCCCACTCTACAAAGTCCTCCCCTACACCATGTCCCTCAGCACTGCATCTAAACGGCCCTTAAACACAGCCAGGGATGGGGACTCCACCCCCTCCCTGGGCAGCCTGTTCCAATGCCCGACCACTCTTTTGGTGAAAAATTCTTTCCTAATGTTTATGGACCAAGGAGGAAAAGAAATGGGGCTGGGCTGACTGTCAGACCCTTAGCATGTCACTGGTGGGTATGGTGGCACTCGCGGCAGGTGGCCAGAAGATGCGTGGCACTCTCAGAGGGGGGACACCTCATCCAAAAGGGACCCCCTCCCCTCCGTTTTCCCCTGCCCACCCCCTCACCCCGTGCCATACCTTCCTGCGCCGGCGCCTCGGCCAGGCCGGGCACGTGGCGCTGCCCGGCTGCTACTGACCGAACCCTTCTCAAGGCCGAGTCCCGCAGCCCTGTGCGCGTTAGAGACTCTTCATCACGGGGATGCCCCGCGGCGAGCAGCTCTTGGGGGGATGTGCGGGGGCGTTGTGTGCACGCGCGTCACCCCCAATCCCGTGCCTCCCATTGGAGGAATAGCATGTTGCCCCCCCCTTTCGTGGAAAAACAAAAAAAAGATCTGGCGTTCTTCTTGGAGGTCGGCTCTCTCCCCTCCGGGTCACTCGTCCCGCGCCACGCTCTCCTCCAAGGCGGGCAGGGCCTCCAAGCTGAGCCCTCTGCCGGCTGCCCCGCCGCCCCCGTGCACGCTCGAGAAGGACACCATGGTGTGGAGAAGCATCAGGACCAGCACGCAGAGTCTGATCCTGCTGCTGCCGAGGCGAGACCCTGCGGAGACCGGCAGCAAGGATGGGGAGTGGGGCTGGTGGTACTGGTGGTGGTGGTGGTGGTGGTGGTAGAGGTGGTAGTGGTTCTGCCGCTGGTGATGGAGGTGGGGGTCGTGGCGGTGGAAATGGAGTGACTCGGACGCTGCGGATTTGGGGGATGTGTTGTCGTTGCTGTCTGGGGGGTGGTCGCAGGAGTCCCATTGCACCTCGCAGCACTTGGCCTCCTCGTCGGGCAGCTGGTGCTCCAGCAGACCTGTGGGAAGGAAGAAGAGGAAGAGGAGGGGGTCAGATGGCAAAGAGGGCTGCAGAGGGACTGAGCCAGCCACGTGCCACGGGATGGGCAGAGCCTGAGAACCAGGACACCCAGAGACCCCCCGGGACCGGCCCCCAGTGGGGCTGTGAGCCCACGTGGACCAATGTGCAGGCAGAGAGCACAGCCCTGGGACACGTGCAGGACACCCCAAATGCTGCTCATAGAGGTTAAAAATACCAGTCCTGCTTTAATCCCACCACCTTCAGCTCCTTACACACTTGCTTTACCTTTCAATTAGATATAGGGCTTTAATTTCATAGAATCACAGCATGGTTTGGGTTGGAAGGGACCTTAAAGATCATCCAGTTCCAACCCCCCTGCCCTGGGCAGGGACACCTCCCACCAGACCAGGTTGCTCCAAGCCCCATCCAGCCTGGCCTTGGACCCCTCCAGGGATGGGGCAGCCACAGCTTCTCTGGGCAACCTGGTCCAGGCTCTCACCACCCTCAGGGTAAAGAATTTCTTCCTAGTATCTAGTCTAAATCTCCCCTCTTTCAGTTTGAAACCGGTACCCCTTGTCCTATTATTCCACTCCTTGTTCAAGAGTCCCTCCCCATCTCTCCTTTAGGTTCCCTTTAGGGACTGGAAGGGGCTCTGAGGTCTTCCTGGAGCCTTCTCTTCTCCAGGCTGAACAACCCCAACTTTCTCAGCCCATCCTCATAGAAGAAGTGCTCCAACTCCCTGAGCATCTTCATGGCCTCCTCTGGACCCATCCCAACAGGTCCATGTCCCTCCTGCTCTAAGCTGTGGGCTGTTGCCATGTCTCCATCAGCCACTGACACCTCAACCCTCCATGGGTATGGGCATTCAGGCAGTGCTTCATGTCTTTCCACGCTCTACCTCCTCCTCCTCCACCCCAAAAAGCCTTCAGAATCTGGCGTGTGGCTTGCAAGGCGTGATAAGGGTATTCCACAACTCCCTTGTCCCGTCCCCCCCCGTGCCCCCCCGGGGTGTTGGGGACCCCATCCCCGCTCCCCAGACCTCCTTACCCGTACAGATGAAGCCAGGCAAACCTCCATAGATCAGCTCGTCATTGTCCGGTAACACAAAGGGGCACCTGGTCTGCACCTCCAGGCAGTATTGCTTGCATGGGATCCGGTGTCGGCACTGTTGTTGGGTCACGTTGAAATACTCGGAGCACAGCCAGGCCTTGTAGACAGCCTAGGGGAAGCCACCAAGAGGGACACGTCACCTCCTCGAACGCCGGGGTTGCAGAGACAACGGGGTGAAAGGGGAAAGGAGAACTCTTAGCTCAAATGAGAAATGTGGGTCAGTACATGGGGGTCACTCACTGAACTCACCCGTCGATTAAAATAAACCGCTGAAGCATTTTGGGACTGTGGAACTCATCGAACGAGCTAAATCCACCACAAAAATAAACGGAATTAACCGCACGGATGGACTAACGTCCCCTGCAGACAGGCACTGCCACAGACCGCGGCGACTCCACCAAGATCGGTGGCCCAAGAGCTTGGTCCATCATGAGAAAAAGTCAAGCACCACTTTCTCCCTGTCCCAGAGCATCTTCCTCCTCTTCCTCCAGATGCCCCGCCACTCCCCCCGGGCAGGGTAGGGATTTACTCCTCCTCTAAAGCACTTTGGTCCCCATGGGCTCTGAACGTGGGACATGGGGCAGCAAAACAGGCCGTGGGCTGCTCTTCGTGGGGAACTTCCAAAGGCTGGAAGAGCTGCCGGCCAGAAGCAGGAGGGCACCACCGGGATGAGGCACAGGCAGCCTCTGCATCCTCAGGCTCGTCCCCTTCTGCCACCAAATAACACCTTCCCCACCTTCCCCACCCATCCACCTGGATCTGGGGAAGATTTAGAAATCTGGCACGTTTTGCTATGCCGTTTCTTTTGGCTGGAAGGGGCAGACCCTGGGGGGAACACACTCATTTTACAGGAGTATTTTGACCCTGGAACGTACCGAGGAGTGGTAGAGATGCCCCTGCACGCCCCACTGGCCTTTCCACTGGTTAGAGCTGTGCCTGGCAACCCTTCCAGAAGCAAAAGCAACCCTGGGAAGGGGGGTGACCAACGATGGTGGGTGCCAGGCTGTGCCACAACCCCTGCCTCCCCAACCCGTCCACTCCCTGGTCTCTCCCTCCCTCATCTCCACATGAGAAGAGGTGAGAAAGTGGTTCCATCAGCAGCTGAAAGATGCACCTTCCTTGGCAAAAACCAGCTCTTCCCTTCCACCTCCCGTGCCTCTGTGCCCATCACAGCCGACCAGGCACAACCCAGATGGCTTCGGTTAAGAGCGTATCTGGAGCATCCCCCTTTATCTCCCCAGCATCAGGCAGGGGTGGAAATTGTTTGTCTTTGCTGGCCTGTAAAAAGGGAGGGAGGTCTGTTGTTTCTCGTGGTCAGCGGTCACTCCCCGGGCTGCAAAGAAACCCCACGACGCCGCTGGGAAGAGCAGCACCCTCCCTGGCACTTCCAGCTCATCTAGGAATAATATCTAGGCACCAGCGACAGAGTTAAGGTCACGTTAACGACCACATCCAACTTCCTTTGAAACCAACTAGAAAGGACTCCCCGTGATTCAAAGGGAACGAGTTTCCCTCCTCGGCTTGCTTGGAGAAAACCCCGTGCTCCTCCTTCCAGCCGCATTTTTAGTTTCTGGAGGCTTTAAAAACATCACTTCTTTGTTTCCCCATGTTTTCCATAGATCCTTATCATCATTTGTTTGGACCATAGTAGCGTCTCAGCATTAAAGCTGGTTGGGAAATTCTTGGCAAGTTATTTTAGTTGCCTTTTTTCTTGATTTTCTTTCTTTCTTTTTTTTTTTTTTTTTTTCCCTGGAAAATGCCAGATCATGAAAACCAGCATTTTCATGGAAGCATGTTCGTTTTGGTGAAACTTTCATCACAAAAAGTTTAATCAGGACCAGGACACAATATATGGAGCAAGCCTTTCAGAGCAGTCAATAGCCCTGTGGTCAGGGCTTTCAGCTGGGATGTGGGAAATTCAGCTGCGGCCCTGCTTTTTCTCCCTGGCCCACTGGATGTTAATTATTTAGACAAAGTGGAACAGCTCCAGAGAAGGGACTGACTCTGCAATCAGACTGTGAGGACACAAGTGGGAGGGAGAGCTTCGAGGTCTGGTTCTGTATCTGCTCGAGCTGATTCCCCCGAGGCTGGGGAGGAGGAGAGGGGACGGGTAGGATGAGCACAGCTCCTGCTCCAGAGATGCCACAGTCATGACACGTGTCCTCCCCACCAGCCTCTGCTCCTTCGGGGACCATGTTGGGAGCAAGGGGACGGTGGGGCAGTGAGGAGAACACAGAAGGACCCTTTGGTGGGGTGGCTCATGACACTTCACAAGCACGATGGGCTTTTCTCCTTTGGGAAAGGATCTATCATTGCTCTCCACGGGACATCAGGATGTAAAGGAGAGTTAGACATCTCAATGGACACTGGCACCTTATGGAATCATCACAGAATCATAGAATGTGTTGGGTTGGAAGGGACCTTTAAAGGTGTCATCCAGTCCAACCCCTCCCGCAGTAAGCAGGGACATCTTTAACTAGATCAGATTGCTCAGAGCCTCATCAAGCCTGACACTGAATGTCTCCAGAGATCAGGCCTCCATCACCTCCCTGGGCAACCTGTTCCAACAGGTCATCATCCTGACAGGATGGAGAACCAGAAGGTATAAAATGGGCTTCAAACCACCCCCCTACTGTCCAGGACTCAGCCAGATGGGACACATCCTTACTTTGGTCCAAGGACTCAACCAGTTACTACCTCGACATGATGCTGTTATTTACACACGACAACAGACGCACACGTAATATGGAGCAAAGCTGAGAGATCCCTGTCTCAAAGAGCTTGTAGCTTCAAAGACACGCTATGGGACAGCCCGAAACATGGGGATACCTCTGGGGGGGACAAACCAAGGATGGTGACCAAGACATGCACCCACCCAGGACGTGTAGATAGATGAGGGACATGGTTTAGCGGTGGACTTGGCAGTGGTAGGCTGATGGTTGGACTCCATGATCTTAAAGGTCTTTTCCAACCTAAACAGTTCTACGATGGGGAAAAGGGATTCAATCTGGAAGGTGATCCACAGCCAGGACACTGCCCAGGGCCAGCGGTGGGTGCTGCCCTACCAGGATGAGCAACGGTGCCAAGTTACTGCTCCACGCGTCCCCAGGACCCCAACTGTTCGGTGGTGCCAAGGGGACAAGAGAATGGCTGCACGAGGACCCTCACAAGCCATATCTGGCGGGTAACTGCTCCCCAAGGACAAGGTCACCCATCCTCCCACCCCGCAGCTCCAGGAGACCTTCTGGTGTGCCTGGCCCCATCTGCCAGCCTGGAGAAGGCGGGTGGAAGGACCAGATGGGGCACGCCAAGTCCACCCCTCCCCCTCAGCCTGTTCTCCAGGCCCTCATCTGGCTTCGTGTTAGACATCTCCATCAATGGGACTTTCCCCATGCGCCTCCTGAGGAGGTTGTTTTACCGCTGAAAGCACTCATCTCGCTGCCTACAAGTTTTCCTTCGTACTTGACCTACATTTCTCCATCCAAAAGTTCATTCCCTTCAATCATTCCATAAACCATCCCTCTCCCTCCTCTGTGTTTACACATTTCTAATATTTGCAGATGTATCACGCTCCCCATTTAGTCATAACTTAGGCAAGCTCGACTGATTTACTCTCTCACATTTCCTGCCAGTCTCCCTTTTCCAGCCCTTTCATCATCCCCGACTCTCCCCCGCGCTGCTTCCCAGGCCCCGCTGGCATCCACGGCTCCCACCTGGGGACACGTGCATCCCTGGGGAGGAGGGATGCTACACCCTGGCAGAGGACCGTGGTTGTCACCTGAACTGGTCCCAGCGCTGCCTTTGGGCTGCAGCAACCCACAATTCGGCCCCACAGGCAGAAGGGGCACAGGGGACTCCCAAGAGCTTGGTAGGAAGGAGCTCGGGGTCATGCTGCTCTCCTGTGGAAACCCAACTTCCACAAGCAGACTCTGCACGGATCCACACGTTTTCCCCTTAAAATGGTTCTGTTGACTCCTATCAGGGAAGTCTGGCAGAGGGTTGGGTTCTCGGACAAGGACGCTCCCAGAAATTTAATGAAAATACCAAGTGAAAGAGCTGGTGATACGGTCGACACGGTGGAGAGAAGCAATGTCACCCAGAGGGACCTGGACAGGCTTAAGAGGAGGGCCCGTGCCAACCTCATGAAGTTCAACAAGGCCAAGTGCAAGGTCCTACACGTGGGTCAGGGCAATCCCAGGCACAAATACAGGCTGGAGGGAGAACGGATTGAGAGGGAGTGGAGCCGTAGGACGAGGGGCAGCGGTTTTAAACTGAGAAAGGGGAGATTTAGACTAGATACTAGGAAGAAAATCTTTCCTGTGAGGGTGGTGAGACACTGGCCCAGGTTGCCCAGAGAAGCTGTGGCTGCCCCATCCCTGGAGGGGTTCAAGGTGGTTTTCTAACAGCTTTCGATATCTGGGAGCTTACCCCAGGCAACCTGCTTTCTCTTGCCGTTACAAAGGATGTATAAGAATTTAGCACAGGAAGAAATTTATTCTCTGCTTAAATCAATAGGGAAAACTCACTGTTTTCCATCCTTGCCCTTTACGGTTTCTTCAGGAAGTGAGTTTGGTCACAATCAGCATTTCTTTCCTTCTGTTTGCATTTTTGGCTGCTCTCCAGCCTGGGCCAAGTAAATGTAAGTGACCTAAACTCTAAAAAGCTCTATTTCAGTGCCCTCTTCCTGCATTTTTAGCTCAGAGGACTGGCTAGACGACTCCAAGAAAGCACAAGGAGTTTTGCTGCCTAGGAAAGGGGCCAACTTCAGACACCCAGTGAGGAGGAGGACAGACTATCTACGTGCATCTGGATTTTGGAGCTGTGCCGAAACACCCCATCCTAAAAGACATTAAAAAGAAAGGAATTGAACTGGATTTCCAACAGCTGTCTAATTAAGCTACCTGTCTGCTCACTGTCAGCACCAGGGCAGCATCCCCCCCATCCAACAGCTTTTCCAGACTCTTTCTGCGCTCTTAGCATTTCTGCCCAAAATAACATCCTCATTTTTTCCAAGTAATTTGGCCATTTCCGACGCCGATCTAGTTGCTGCTGGTATTTTGTATACTCTGTCACTGCCTGTTGAACCACCCCGGCAAAATTTGGGGAGAA